TAAGGAGTGATCTTTCCTTCAGAATGAGCAGGAGTGGGAGGAGGCTGAGAACTCTGAGCATCATGGATCAGGTGATTTGACCAAAATTCATCCAGCCCTGCCGGCGTGGCTCAGTAGAGCGTTGACCTATGAACCAGGAAGTCATGGTTCGATTCCTGTCAGGGCACATGCTCGGGAGCAGACTCGATGCCCAGTGTGGGGCATGTAAAAGGCAGCCAATCAATGATTCTCATCATTGATGTTTCTCTCCCTCTCCCTTCCTCTCTTACGTCAATAAAAACATTTTTAAAAAAACATATATTTTATTGATTTTTTACAGAGAGGAAGAGAGCTAGAAACATTGATGAGAGAGAAACATCGACCAGCTGCCTCTTGCACACCCCCTACTGGGAATGTGCCCGCAACCAATGTACATGCCCTTGACCGGAATCGAACCTGGGACCTTTCAGTCCGCAGACCGACGCTCTACTGCTGAGCCAAATCGGTTTCGGCAATAAAAACATTTTTAAAAATTTATCTAATACTTCATCAAACATAATTGGTTCCTGAAACTTAGAATTTCCAACCATTCTCTAAAATGATTGCAGGTGATGGGTGACAAGTAATCTTGTGACCACCCCCCACCCCTGAAAGGTTCCCTCCCACGCCTGGCCTGGCCGAGTCCTGCCTCTGCTGCACACAGCTGCCTCTGCCCGTGGCAATCAGGATCAGAGAAGCATCGTGCTTTGGAAGGCAGACCACAGACTGTGGTTTAGTTTCTGATCCAACTAAAACATGTGTGCGTGTTTTAAATCTTGGATCTCACAACTTTTCTTGAATGCTGTGTATTTCCCATGATGAGAAGGAAAGGCCTATATTTAAAGTGATACATATGCGATTCTTGGGTACTTGCTCTGCTACCCATCATTCAGTCAACAAATATTTATTCGTCATCTGCTCCAAGCTACACACCTACTGGGTGCAAGGAGTGCAGTGGTGAGCAGCCCTGTGCAGGCGCTGCCCCTGCGGCCTTCTTTCCAGCTCAGCCTCCCTGTCAGGACATCTTTGGGAAGTCCTTTAACCTCTATGAGTTTCCAAGTAATGTCCTCTGCAAAGTGAGGGAATTAACACACATTCCGAGTGCTTCTAGGGAACGCTAAAACTATGGAGAATGAAGTCCCCCATGCAGCAGTCCAGCACCTGTGCTGTGTGTTCACCACCCTGGAGGAATACATTTCAGTTCCTCTCCCACACCAACAGACTCCCCTTCCCTGTTACCAGGGGCACTTCCTGATGAATATTGAGGTCCCCTGGTTCCCCTAAGACTCAGGACACACACTGCTCCTGCCAATGGCTTCAGTGCACAGCCAGTGAGGGGAGCCGTGGGCCCCTACTAAGCTGCTTCCACCCCAGCTTTCCTTCCGAGCAGACACACCTGCCGGGTTCACAGTCTAACCCTGTGACCTGCCCAGGTCTCTGAGTCCCTCGTGAGGTGAGAATCAGAGCAGCACATGCTGAGGGCACAGAGCGGGGGTGAACGGACCTCTCCCGGAGTGAGTGGGTGCTCCCCAGAGAGGAGGCTTGCAGAGGTCCTGCTTGCCGAACGTGCCCCGGTGAGAGCGGCCGCACGGGCAGTGACCCCGAGGACAACACTGAAGGGCGGCTCGCTTTCCGGGGTCCCCACCAGGCTGGCCGAGGTTTTGTCACTTTGCTTCCTGGAAAAAAATGTATTTTACTCCGTGAGTATCAGAAACCACAGTGAATTCTGTTCTCACCCCAAAATATAAGGGCTTACAGAACTCTCCACCCCCACAATTTTTTCTCTGTTCATCCCACATTAGTCTCTTCAAATGAGTCTAGCTCAACCCAACTTACTGGTGATTTGCTGAAAACACCCACTGGCGTGAAATATCTGGCATCGCTGGCACTTCTGCTCCCCCTCACCCTCACCCTCTGAGTCCTTACATGGCATGTGGGCCTTGGAGGAGCTATGTTGTCAGTGAAGGCCGGACACTAGGACAATGAGAGTTACTTGGGTTGTATTATTTTTCTTAAATAACGAGTGGTTTAGTGGTGTCTCTAAACTCAATAGACTCAACAACAAGGGTGTCTGAGTATATTACACCCCACCTCTCTTCTTGCAAGATGCCTTTAGGAATTGGGCTCTTATCATGGTAGAGGCAGAGTGCAAGAGAGAACTCACTCCCTGTTTATGAAATAATTAGAGAGAAATGGCTTCTTGGTATCAGCTTCCTGGCTTGTCTTAATAGACTATCAATCAGAAAGTTTCTGATCTCTTCAATTGGCAGGACATTGGGACATCTCGGATGGAAACTAAGTGACGTGTAAGAAACAGACACGCTGCCCTTGCTCTCCCTCAAGCTGGTGCTCTTCCCTCCCCTGCTGCTGGCCATCATATCGGAGATGGAGGCAGGCTCAGCGGAGGCCTGTGCCTGGATGGACCCACGGAAGGCTATGTTCCCACTGCCTGGAACAGGTGGGCGATGGGACTAACATTCTGGCTGATGAAATGTTAGAGCAAATAATGTCTTAAAAGCCCCAACATGCTTCTCCATTCCTCCTTCCCTGGTGCAGCCGCTGTTGACATTCCAGGTGGTGGGGCCATCGGCCTGGGCCCCTGTGTGAGCGGGTGGAGTAGACTCTCCCCTTGTGCACTTTCCCTCCTGACTTAGGCAGATCTGTGAGAGCAAAATACATGTTTCTATGTTAAACCACTGAAATTTGGGAATTGTTAGCACAGCCTAAGCATAACCTATCCTGAAAAAAAAAAAAAAAAGCCCTTGCAATCAAATAAAATATGCTCAAATACTTGAAGGTGATGTTTTCTCTCTACTGGCTTATATGATAGTCAAAACAGAAACTTCCAGCTCTAGCCCTGGTTGGCATGGCTCAGTTGGTTGGAGCGTTGTTCACACACCAGAGGGTGGTGGGTTCATTTCTGGACAGGGCACATACCTAGGTTGTGGGGTTTGATACCTTGTCAGGGTGTGTGCAGGAGGCAACTGACCTATGTTTCTCTCTTGCATCTATATTTCTCTCTCTCTCCTCTCTCTCCTCTCTCTCTCTCTCTCTCTCTCTCTCTCTCTCTCTCTCTCTCTCTCTCTCTCTAAATCAATAAAAAAAAAATTCCCAGCTCTAGTTCTCTAAGCACATTGCCCTCTAGGTCCCTTGACTGAAAATCTAGTTTTAATAGCCCACCTCTACTTCCAGGATATAATTTCTTTTATTTGCCTTCCATACCCTTCAACTTAGACATGCAATTACAGACAAGTAACATGAGACACAGATTCTCCTGGGAAAAGGAGAGCATAGCTATGCACCATTCAGAAAAGGCATGATGAGAGGCTATGGTTCCAGCCCTCCAAAGAAGGCTCCGGAAGGCAGTATGCTGTGGGACCCCATGCGGGTAGGCCCTCCACATGGGCTGCCAGAACTGCTTTTCACAGGGCTCAAAAAACAGCAGGTATTCAGGGACTGACTCAGACTAACCAGACTCATACACCAAAGGCTAATATATAAACAAGACATTGTTTTGTTTTTTTATAATGGGAATTTGTTTTTTCCAATGACTTGAATATTCATGAGCACAATCCAGTCCAAATATTCTCTGTAAGGGCAAATCAGAGAAGACAGAACACAGGAGAAGAAGATGGTTACATGGATTGCAGGGCTGACCATCTGGGGTTATTTTGTCCAGATGAGTTTGCTTTCTCTCTCTCTCTCTCTCTCTCTCTCTCTCTCTCTCTCTCTCTCTCTCTCTCTCTCTCTCTTTCACACACACACACACACACACACACACACACACACAAGTACAATGCTAGATAAATACTAACACACTGAGAGGTGCTTGCTTTGAAGTCCTGGGTGATGGGCAAAAGGCATCTATGGATGGACATTCTGTGTGCATGGGCCACCGCTGCTCTCATGGTTCTGATCCTGCTCCAGTGGCACAAGCCCCCATTCATGTGGTGAGCTGCCATGGATCGCACTGCAGGGGGCCACACTGAACACTGACCCTCAGCCGGCCAGAAAGTTACCAAAGACTTGGACCCTCTGAGAAAATCACCATCATCCCTGTCCACCCTTCCGCTCTCAGACTCAGTGTCTCGTCTACGCAGGCCAGTAGCCCAGCCTCTATAAAGAGCTGCTGTGGGGGTCAAATGAGAGAAAGCAGGAAAATATGTTGTGAGGTCTTTGGTAAGTGTGAGAGGGAATGACCTTAGAAATCCAGTGAGTGTTCAGCACCATGTGGAGTCTCCTTGGTGATGTTAGTCTGTTAGTTTCCGTGGATCACATGCCGTCCCAGATCTTCTCCAGAGTTGTTACTTCAAGGTTTTGGCACCAAATACCCCAGATACTCCTTTGGTAGAGCTCAGAGCTGCAGACGAGACACACTGACAGTTTGTGGACTCTCACACTCAGGCCTTCAGGGGCCCCAGCGCTGAGAAGGAGCCTTCGTTCCAGTGGCCCTGAGAGACTGGGAGACCTGGAGAACCCCCAGGAGCCAAGGCAAGTTTTAGGAAGCACCACAGACATGGCTGCACGGGCAGGGCGAGCTGTGCGCAGACAGCACGGCACACGGGACTGAGCCCTGGCACCTCTCAGCCCCTCCAGACTGACATTCGTGAGTAAATGAGCACCATTCAAACTTCTAGAACTCATTGGAAATCAAATCACTCTCTCCGGGCAGAATGGCACCCAGAGGAAACTGTGAGAATCAGTCAGTGTCCACCCGGAGGCGTGTGTGAGGCCCTGGAGCGCACCCACCACCCGCACCGATGCCAGCGCACGGCCTCTCTGTCAGCCGACTCTGCCAAGCCAGGTCCCGCTTCGTGGTTGTGGATGATGCAGCAGATGAGATCACAGGTCAGCCAAAGTGCTGCCCACCATGACTTACAAACAAGAACTGCCCTCTGCCCATTTAAGTTGGGTTTGGCCATGGCTCTGGCTTTGGCAGAGAATGGGGCAGACATGGCAGTGTGCCCGATCTAAGCCAAGCGTGTGAGAGGCATCACATTCCTCTGGTATCATCTGACCCCCGAGAAGGAGTTGCCCCGGTGGCCACCAGCTCTCCATGTTGGGCCCCAAATAAGATGGGGGAGAGCCTGCCACTCCCAGACCTGTGGGCTATGCAAACGGAAGTGCCGCTGGTGGCTCGGGGCCAAGCGGCCGCACAGGCGTGTGGGCACAGGCCCTCGGACGCCCAGGCTCAGACGGAGTAGACGTGAGACGTCGTGGGCACACAGGGAGCCTTACTGCAGACCAAGCGGCCGCTGCTGACAAGGAGCCATTAAACAGTAGTTCTTCCCACAAAGCCGCCGGCAGACATAGGAGCCAGCCACCTGCTGGCCCGCAGCCTCTGGATAGGAGCTCAGGCGGAAGAGGCTTCTTGCCAAACAGACACCAGCATCCGGTACCGAGAGGCCGGCAGGGCCACGCTGGGTCCTGCCTTTGCACCTGAGCGTGGCAACTTGGCCTCGAGCACCGGAGTGCTCTGATGAGGGTCCCACAGCAAGTGACTGAGCGCCCTGCTTCCGCTCCGGGACAGTGCGGAGAGGATGCAGAGGAGTCTTCTGCAAACGCTGGTTGTAAGAATTAAACAAGTTAATGCACAGAAAGCACTTAGACACTTTCTGGCACAGAGGAAGTGCTTTAATGGGTGCTAGTTCTTGTGGCTGTGTGGAGTGGAGGAGCGAGCAGGCAAACACGTGGGAGGAGGGGAAGGAGCCAGAGCAGGTGTTGGGCACCGTGTGCCAGGGGAGCCTCAGCACAAGTACTCGCCCACCCACCCACCCCTGCTGGCGTCCCCAGGCGCAGAGTCCAGGCTGGAGCCAGCGCGGATGGACAGGAGCCCGTCGGCCTCACTGAGGCTGGGCTGGGGCCGCGCCCCCGAGTCCTCGCCCAGGCCGAGGCTCAGCGCGTCCAGGCTGAGGTAGGTGCTGGGGGCCTGGGCGGAGCGCCCGGCGCGGCCGCGGCGGCAGCGCCTGCGGAGGGCCCCGCAGCTCACGAGCAGCGTGAGGGGCAGTGCGATGACCGCGGCCACACTGGCCACCACCGCGTTGATGAGCCGCTGAGTGGCCTCGGCGTCCGCCACCTCGTCAGGGGAGAAGACGACGCATTGCTCCTTCCGGGGCGCCAGGCCCCATGCGCACACACAGGCCACGTACTTGGTCTCGGGCAGCAGCCCCCGGAGGGTGACCCTGGTCCTCCCGGGCGGCACGGCCACCCGCCGCATGGCCCGCTGCCCGAGGGCGGCGTACAGGATGCTGAGGGCTGCACCGCCGGCCCGGGGCGCCTTCCACACCAGCGTCACGCTCCGGCGCGTGTCCCCCACCACCTTGAGCGCCATCACTGTCCGGGCCTCCTGGGGTCCCGTCGGCCCAACGTCCTCCGTGCTGGGCCCTGCAGGCCCGGGTGTGGGGGGCGCACGCCGGGCCACCAGCCTGTTGTACACAGCTGCTCCCGGCCCCTCGCCTGTCCCTGCCCGGGGGGCCCCCGGGCTCCCGCTGTGCTCAGTGGAAGCCTGGGGCTCAGCGATGACCAGGGAGGTGATGGTCTCAGAGGCGCCCAGGAAGTTGCTGGCCTGGCAGACGTAGTCCCCGGCATCAAGGTGGGACACGGCGGGCAGGCCCAGCAGCGCCCAGCTGGTGCCGTCCCTGGAGACCTGCTGGTGCACTGGGGGGGGAAGCATGGATGAGGAGGGTGCCCGTGCCCAGGCTCCCTCCCAGGACCAAGCTCGTAGCCCAGACTGTGTACACGTCACTGAAGGCCTTGTCACCCCAAGAAAACACTGGGGCTCACCCAACCTTCCTTGGACTAGCCAAGGAGATTGAGGCCCTCGAGGCTCTAATCTGGGGAGACACAGGCTGAGTTAGTGTCCAGGAGTGTCCGCCTTCTAAGCCTGCCCTGTGCCCACGTTCCTCAGCCCTGGAGCTCTGCAGCGCTGACCAGGCAGCGGCCGGTGGGGGGAGAGACGGAAGCCCTGGGACGTGCCCTCCCGGGGCTGTGCGGCCCTGCCCAGCTCCGGGGCACCTCCTGCTGCTGTCTGTGGCATGGCGCTCTGCACAGCTCCATGCACCCTGGTTCCAGACCCCTAGTTCTAACAGCACTGCCAGCCTGGCTGCAGGAGAGAGAAGAAAGCTGGTGGGACCAAATGTTCGTCAGACACTGAGATATTCCTCCTCAGCCCCCGTGGGCATGGTGAGCGCTGGCTCCGCACCCTGCCAGCCCATCCAGGCAGAGGAGCCCTCTGTCCCCGGGGCAGAAAGAGCCGAGCTGCCGATCACGGTCTGTGCCCAGCCCTCCTGCTGGGTGGGGGGGCCAGGCATGCAGCTCTCAGAGCTTCGGGTCATTTACACAAAATAAGAAGACTGCTCTTCAAAGCTCCAAGACATGAGGGACAGAATACATTTAACAAAGAGCTTCATGAATGTAACTCACATCAAAAGTTATCCTAGTGATACCAACTTAATATTTGCAGCCAGGAGACTCACTATAAATCTTAAACACACTGAGAGAGCACCTCCCGCCCATGTCAGCACGCTGCCCTCTCGGGCCCTGAGCCTCCAATAGAGGGACTGGTGGGATGTGACAGGACAGGCGAGAGCCACCAAGATGCCACTGTCCCCGGCCTGCCGCTGTGTGGCGCCTGCCCAACCCCACCGGGCAGAATGGGAGTGACCAGTCCGCTCCTCGGCCTCTGGGACCCTGCCTCACCTGCCCTGCGGGGCTCAGCAGGTGGCCCTGGCAGCTCACACACCTGTGCCGTTGAGTGGGCGCCCACTGACCCTCCTCCAGCTCATCTGGGGCTCAGGGACGCCAGTGGCCCCACAACGAAGCAACACTGTGCTGCCCAAGGGAGACCTGACGCTGGCCACGGCTGGCCGCAGCTCGGGTCCCTGGCACCTCCTCAGCTGCAGCTGGCCGAAGGCCACGCCGGCCAGGCCTCCCGGGCCCGCACACCGCAGCCCAGCCTCGATGAGGGCCAGGTGCGGGGCCTTGCCATCCAGGAAGTGGACCAGGTCGTGGAGTCGGCAGTCGCACACCCAGGGGTTGTCTTGCAGCCCTGCAGGCGAGAGGCCTGAGGTCAGCCCGGCTGGTCACATCCCCAGGCCCACTCCCTTCCCCTTGGAGGGACGAGGCAGGTCCAGAGCTCTGCTAGCAGAACTGGCATCCCAACGCATTTCTTGCCCCTCCCCCGCCCCCTCGGCCCCCAGCCCTGCCCCCTCGCCCCCCCCCCCGCCCTGCCCCCTCAGGCCCCCATCCCTGCCACTTCAGTCCCCCATCCCTGCCCCCTCGGCCCCCCTGGCCCTGCCCCCTCGGCCCCCAGCCCTACCCCCTCAACCTCCCCCGCACCCCCTGGCTCTGTCCCCTCAGCCCCCCTGGCCCTGCCCCCTCGGCCCCCATCCCTGCCTCTTCAGCCCCCCATTCCTGTCCCCTCAGCCCTCCTGGCCCTGCCCCCTTGCCCCCCCCCGCCCTGCCCCCTCGGCTCCCCGGCCCTGCCCCCTCAGCCCCCTGGCCCTGCCTCCTTGGCCCCCGAGCCCTGCTCCCTCAGCCTGCTCTTTCTCTCGAGGCCTCACATGCTTCCCTGTCAGGTTGTCATGAGCATAAATAAAAAAGAATCACATCAGGTACTGGGAAGGCCATACAGCTCCAACAGCATCATGGAGGGACCCTTTCAGGCCACTGGCCAGTGAGTATCCCTGTGGTGCTTGCTACGGGACACTGCCAGCACCGGCGCAGGCAGCTGTGAGCCTGGTTCCTCTGACAACGGCTCCAAAGGAGAGAAGAGAGGAGGCCGCTGTCCCCAGTCCCTGCGCTCCCATGACTTTCAGAGCTGGGAGGTCACTGCCCCCCCACCCCTCGTCAACACCTCCAACAGGGACAGGGCAGCCTGTGTCCTCAGTTCTCAGGCACAAATCCTCTTTATGTGTTTGCGTTTCTGAAATGCAAAATAAATGCTTTTAATATGATCCCCCAAAGACTGGTATGGAATGCGATAGTAGTGTGTCTAGGAATCGGTGTGTCTTGTACATGAATCTGCAGGCGTTCGGTTTGTTTGAAAGGAGGATGTGAGTGTGAAAAGGCTGCATTCAAATCTGCTGGATGTTCACAGCTCATGTGAGAGCCAGCGCGGCACGGGCCCCTCCTGCCCCAGCCCTCCCCACCCAGCGGCGGCTGCTCCCATCCCCCGGGAAGTGCGTGGAATGGGCCGCCAGGCTGTTCTGGCTTGCACCTAGTACAGAGTCTCCAGTAAACGACTGCAAAAGGCAGAGTCAGAGATCAGTGACGCGGTCACCGCCATTGGCGAAGTGGGACTTTGGCCACGTAACCTGTTGGCTCCATGAGAAAGCAGATCTGCATCAGCTGTGCTCACGGCTGCACTCCCAGCGCCTAGAACTAGGCCCACGTTCATAAGGGCTCACGTCAGCTTGCAGAGTGGGCACACAAGCCTGGGGCCACGCCCCAGCCCCTGGAGAGATGCCTGCAGGTACCAGGCTGCAGAGTCAAGAGCAGGTGTGACTAAAACCACGAAGGCAGCCCAAAGGCCACTGCAGAGGCCTGGCTGAGGAAGCTGCGCTATGAAGTGTTAGGCGCTGGTTTAACAATGCGAAGCTGGAACTTGTAGTAACTAATGTCTCTGGGTGGGAAGGTGGTGCTGGCTGATATATACAATATGATAAAATTGTAAAACACACAGATAAACTTCCTGTGTGTGTGTGTATGTGTATGTAGATATCTTGTGGAAGACAGGAAATATGAAAATAAATATAAAAGTGGCTACCATTTATGAGGGGGAGAAGGGACAGAAACTTTAGCCTTTCTAAAATATTTTAAATGTTCACATATATTCCTGCATGTGTTGTGTCATTAAAATTAATTTTCCAGAATGTATGTCCCCACCCCCGCCAGGGAGGTGCCTGGGGCGGTGGGCACCGCCCTCCGCTACCTCCTGGCTGCACGCAGACGCTCTGTCCCTGAGGTGTGACCCTGGCTCAGCGCCCCTTGCCCTGCTGCCGGCCATGGTTGGAACCAAGTCACCAAACATTTAAAAAAAGGATGCTCCAGTTCGACTTGATGTTCAAATTAACATTTGTCCTGGAGGTGCTCCCCGGAAGGTGCCCTTGTGTGGAGGCTCTCGAGGGGGCGGGCTGAAGGGCTTCCGCAGGGAGCCACTCCAGGGCAAACCCCCCAGCCCCAGGCCCAGGCTGTCTAGCCAGCGGCCTCTCTGATGCTGCACACCTCCCTCAGGGGGCTGGGAACCAGACCCGCTCCTGACAGAGCATTGGCCTAATCCTCCACCCCAGCCAGACTCACACAGGGCTGTGCTTGCTGCCCGTGCCCTGCTGTGCCCTGGAGCACGTTACATGACCTTGTCTTTCCTCCTGGTCCCCTTAACAAGAGAGTCCGCCTCCCGGTGGCTGGGGGCAGAGGAGGCCGTGTGTGCCAGTTCACACATGGTCGCCCGCAGGCCCAGGCTGGTGTCAGTCTCCTCACCCCCAGTGTATGTGTTCCTTGTAAAACGGGGATGTGCTGCACTGGCTGCCCTGGTGCGGTGAGGGCCGTTCTATGAGGAGCAGGAGGGAGTGTGGGGACCTTCAGGGCCAAACTGATGCTAATGGCCATCAAGGACGGCAGGTCAGCAACTCCGCCATCTCGGAGGGGGGAGGGGGGAGGTGCTTTGAAGACTGTGGGCTTTGGGTTTCCCAGGAGGCTGAGAGGAAGAGTATGGTGCAGGAGGAGGAGGAAATCAGGAGAGAGGGGAGCTCTGTGCACCTGGCAAACCCCGAGGCTGGGGCGGGTGGGGTTGTGGGGCAGGGATGGTCTGTAGCTGAACTACCCCATCAGAGTCTCTGGTGATTGGGCCTTTACCTTCCCCTGACAGGTCCTGGATGGGACTGTTCTCAGAGAGGGGTGTGGCCTTGGGAGAGGCTGTTCTGCGTGAAATGGTCCATATGGTCCCTAGGTGCTGGGCTGGGGGGAGGGCACGTCCCTGTGCTGCCCAGGTGCCTGTGGCTGCCAGCGCTGTGCCCACAGGCCTGCATGTTTGAGTAGATCTTTCTATCAACCTCTCTTCTCTAAGGGACACGGGCACAGAGAGGCTGAGCCAGGGACGCAGCTAGTAAGAGGCAGGGCCAGAATTGGAACTCCTCGCCTTACCGGTATGTGCCTGGCACCCAGCCTCCACTCAAACCCGGCACTGGCGCCTGGTCTCTCTCCCAGGGAGTCAGAGCCCAGAGGCAGCATCCGCGGCGGCGAGGGCCCTCTTACCTAGGACCAGCCCGGGGCGGCCCGGGGGCGCGGGCGCGGTGGGCCGCGGGCCCCAGGCGGCCAGCAGCGCGGGCGGCAGCCGCAGCAGCCGGTTGCTGGAGAGGTCCAGGAAGGCGAGGGCGCGCAGGAAGCGCGCGGCGCCGGGCGGAACGGCGGCCAACCGGTTGGCCTGCAGGTCCAGCAGCCTCAGGCGCGGTGCGTCGCCCAGCGCGGCCCAGGGGAAGGCGGCCAGGCGGTTGCCCGGCAGGCGCAGCTCCCGCAGGCGGCCCAGGCCCCGCAGCGGCCGCGCGCCCAGCCGGCGCAGCGCGTTGTGCGGCAGCCAGAGCTGCTCTAGGCGGCGCAGCGCAGCGAAGGCGGCGGCGGGCACGCGGCGGATGGCCGTTCGCTCCAGGCGCAGCCGGCGGGTGTCGGGCGGCACGGCTGCGGGGGGCAGGGTCATGTCCGGGTCGTTGCACAGCACGGTCCTGGGCACAGAAAGGGGGCGTCTGAGCGCGGGCAGGCCAGCGAGACCCTCCCCGCCTCCTGCCCGAGGCCGCCGCTCTGCAAGGCCCTGGACACCCGCCTGGCTCCCAGCGCGGGTTCTGGGATGGGCGGGAGCCAGCCCTCCTGGTTCCTGGTGTGTGTGTGTGGGGGGGGGGGGGGGGGGCTGATTTCAGAGCCTTTCAGGGGTCCCCGGGGCAGCTTGGTCTCTGTCACACCGAGGGACCTCAAGCTGATCCTGCCATGCCGGACACGGCCCCCCTCCCCCCCAAGTACAGCACTCAGGAGTCCCAAGATCCCCTCAGCATGTCCTTTTACAAATGTGCTAAAAGTATTGATGTTAAATTGTAACCATGTGGGCTTTTCTTCATTTAAAAAACTATATGCCAAGAGCATCCGAAACGCAGCCACCGAGGTGCCTCCCCTCTGACTGAGCCCGCCCCACCCCAGCCAGCCTCACACCGGCGGCCGTGCTTGCTGCCGGTGCCCTGGAGCACGTTACATGACCTTGTCTTTCCTCCCGGTCCCCTTAACAAGACAGTCCGCCTCCCGGTGGCTGGGGGCAGAGGAGGCCGTGTGTGCCAGCTCACACGTGGTCGCCCGCAGGCCCAGGCTGGTGGCCGGTGTCAGTCTCCTCAGCCTGCCAAGGCACCTCCTGCCCGACAGCGGCACCTGACGTTTTGGCTGTGAGTTGGGCCGCAGGGCTGGCTCTCACCACAAGAACTGCACACCTGCAGGATGGAGCAGCTGTGCGGGAGCCGGCCCAGGAGGCCGGGAGGTGCCAAGATGCAAGGGGCCTCAGCCTCCCACATGTCGTGCCCCTGGGCATGGCAGCCGCTCAGTTCTCCTCTGGCAGGACCTCCCTGCACATGGCAGACGAGCAGCTGTGGGCTCCCAGGGACTGTGGCGAGAGCTCTGGTGTCAGAGGCAGGATGGCTGCGGCTGCCATCAGGGGCCTGGAAGCTGTCCTTGGAGAGTCCTCCACACCGAGGTCAACCTGCTGCCAAGTCCCCGTCCCTGCCTGCCCACCGCCGACTGGCAGGCAGGGTCCCAGCGCCAGGCCCACTGCGCTGCTGCGGTGCAGCGGAGCTTCCTGTGGTGGGAGGAGGCCCTGTGCGGGCCCAGCGCAGCCTGGCTTCCCTGCAGGGGCCCCTCCTGGCTGACGGGCTGTAGGGGCTGGATGCAGAGACCTGAGCCACACGTGGAGCTCTTCTGTGCTCCGGCCCCTCACAGCCTCCTCCACCGGGCCAGCCAGCATGCAGGCCGGGACCCCGCAGAGGCGCACTGACTGTATTGCTGCCTGGTCAGGAACCAGCAGTGTCTCCGCCCACCGGAGACAGGGAAAAGGAAGGTGTATTCCAGAAGGTGGACAGGCTGTGGGAGAGGCCTGAGCCAGGTGAAATCCAGGTGAGGGTTTGGTGCTCACAGATGGATAAACTGAAGTGTCAGAGGAAAGACGCTTTAAAGACAGGAGGAGGAAGAGAGGGCGTCGTGGTGGGGGTGGAAGAGAAGGGCACACAAACCCCGTGGCCTAGGGACGCCCCTGGGAGGTGGTGGTGGAGGTGCGCCCAGAGCTCAGAGGGGGTGGGGAAAGTCGAAGAGCGGAGCGGAGGGAAGGGCGCTGCTGCAGGAGAATGGGCAGCGGCTGTCGGAGAGCTCTAGGAAGCGGCCAAGGCTGAGGCTCCCAGGGCTTTGCCAGAGGAGACCCAAAAGGCAGCGCAGGAGGCAGGCGCTCCGTCCTGGGAGGTGCTCAGAGACACCTGGGATGTGAATGGCACCTGGGAGACGAGGCAAGAGAATAGGAAAGGCCTGGGAGAGAGGAGGCTAAGGAGACAGAGAGAGAATGGTGGGAACGGAGGGAGGGAGGGAGGGAGGAAGGAAGAGAAAGAGGAAGGGATGAGGGGAGGGAGGAAGGGAAGGAGGAGGATGGAAAAGGGGGAGGAAGGGAGAGGGGGAGGAGAAAGGGAGAGAAGGAGGAGGGGAGGGAGGGTGGGAGGGAGGTTGGAAGGAAGGAGGAAGAGGTGAAGGGGAGAAGTCTTGGAGGAGGATTCGGAAGGGTTTCCTGGGCTGCACACCTATGCCCACCCCCCTCCTGCAAAGGTGCTGGTGCCTCGGAGGCAGAGCCAGGCCTGGCTGGCCAGACAGTGATTCGCACAGATGAGCCTCAGGTCCGGGAAATGGAGGTCTCACCTGGCCACTCTCTGAGCCTCATCCAGCCCTCCCCCCTAGCCAGCTGTGGAGCTGGGCACTGGGTGCCACTCACACCCCTGGCACCTTACCGGGCCATGCTGCCTTCGCCCAGCACCTGGCGGCTGCAGCTGCACCGAGGCGGACAGGAGCTCCAGGCCTGGGGCGGGGGCCTGAGGGCCAGGAGCCAGAGCACGCCCAGCGCCACCCTCATGGCTCCGGCTCCACTGCAGCCCAGGCAGGGGCCGGCCTGGCCCAGTCTGTCCTGCCGGCTTACCCCCTGCCCCCGGCCATCAGATAAACAGGACCGAATGGGGATTAGGGAAGGGAGCTCAGCCAGTCACAGTACTCAGCGGCTTACTGTTCCCTGGAATCACCCATCCTGACATTAGGGTGGGGGTCCCCTCTGTCACAACAGCCACAGGCCCAGAAGCCGGGCTGGGCAAGATGGGGCAGGGAAGCGGACAGGGCAGGCAGTAGCTGGGCCAGCTGGCTGACCGCCCACATGCAGAGCCCGAGGACAGCCCGGCCGTGGGCAGACAGACCACCAGGCTCCAGGCTTACAGGAGCCAAGTCAGGTGCTGGCGTCGGTGCCGCGTGGAGATTCTTCTCTGTGCTGTGTGCTGTGGTGCAGACGCAAAGCGGTGAGGCAGTGAAGGTGTCAGGAAGAGCCCAAGCTCAGGACCACACTGCCTGGTTCAAATCCCAGCACTTCCACTCAGAGCTGTGGCCTTTGATCAGTCACATGATTCCTCTTGGCCTCTGTGTCTTCATTTGTCCACGGGAAGTAATGTTATTCTGCTCTGGCTGTTTATGAAAACTGAACAACCCAAGTTCCCCAGACCTCGACAGCCCGAGGAGCAAAGCTCTCTTAGGAGTCTCCAGGACTTTGTTGGCGCTGCTCAGGGAGGAGTGGGGAGATAAAGAGGTTTGGCAAGACCCCCGAATGCTCTCCCAGGAGCTCAGGAGCCCCTGGGCGCCCGGCAGGCAGCTGTCTCCTGCCTGCCGTGAGCAGCCGGGCGGAGCAGCGCCTTCTGAGCAGAGCCTGGCCGTCACCGAGGACCAGGCGCGCTCTTCTCCACAAGGCTCTCCCGCAGGCGCCGAGCTGGGCAGGTCCGCCAGGCTCCGGAGCTTTGGGGGCGGGTGCTCTGCTGTCAGGATGGTCTCCTACCCCAGCCTCTCCCGTCAGACAGCACCTTCCACTCTTGCGTTACTCACACTTGACCCCAAGGCTTTGCCCCTTGGAACAGATGCCCTCTCTGTTTCCCTTGGCCTTTCCAGAAGGTTCCTTAGTCTCTCATGACCATGGGTCTAGGCAGGCCTAGACCAGGGAGATGTGCCCAGCAGAGCCAGGCCACGGGCACCATGCATGCCTGTGTGGACACGGCTTCCAGGGGAGGTGGTTCCCCTTCCTTCCCTTCTCCCAATCCAGCCCAGATGGTCTTCTACCTGCCACCTCGTCGCACCGCCCCCCCCCCCCCCCCCCCAGCCAAAGGCCAGCCCAGCCCCGCTTCTCAGTCTCTGCCTTCCCTTCTCCTGCTGGGGTGCCCTCTGTTGGCCTTACCTGCTGGACTCCACCCTGATTCCAGACCCGCCCTGCTTCTCCTCTCCCTCCAACTCTTGAAACCTTGTCATGAGAAAACCCTGACATATGTATTAGCCAGTGATGCAAGACAGAATTGGAGACAAGCAGGGAAAACTGTGGGAACACGGATGACCAAGGAAAGCCCCCAGTAACTGTGGGTGTCACTCAGCCTCAGGGTGCTTAGGCACGGATACATGTGGGAACATAAGAGGAAAGCATGGGAAATACATGTTTAGGAGATAAATTTCGCTGCTTTGGAATGACTGCATGGCTTCAGGCTGATGCTGAGCTGCAGGGGTGGGGTGTGTGGTTCCCGGAGCTGTGGCAGGAACCATCCCCAGGAGGTAGTCCGCCCTGGCTTCAGGGAGCACCACGCGCGTGAGCTGTGCTGCTGACCGCTCTTACCTGAAATGAATCGGATTGCTCCAGACCGGCGTTTCCTGCTGTAATCTCACCACGAGCCAGTGCATAACCTCATTGTAGAAGCCAAAGTTCGTAGTGTTGTGGGCCAAGCCCTGGGAGACTATTGCTTGGAGCTGAAGGGCTCTGTGGGCATCGGGACATGCCACCCTAAACACCACTCCCACCCAAGACCTGCACAGGCCCTGAGAAAAGATGCTCACACTGCAAGAGGCACACAGCTAGGCAATGGCAGACTCAGAACCAGAACCCAAGTCTCTGATCCCAGTTGGGGTTCTTTCTACGACAACAGGTGGCTTCCTAGCCATCATCTTTCCCCCACTTGTTAGTACACGCATGTGACCATGTGGACACATATGTGCACACACATGCTCAGGCGCTCAGCTTGTCAGCATCAAAAACATGCCAGGACTTGGCTTCTAACCAGTTCTCAGGCACAGCTGCAGCTCCCCTCCCTCCCTGGTTATGCAACTCTTCTAATTCGGCTCAGGCGCTCAGCTCAGCGTTCAGCCTCCTCCTAATCCCCCTCCAGGCTGGTAAAGGGAGCTCCACGCTTCACAAAGGCTGCCCTGTGCAGCCGGACGTTCCTTCTGCTCTGGCTCGGAGGACACTGTGGGAGGAAGGGCAGTGAGAAGGAGCCCAAGGTCTAGCTAATTCCCCTGGGCCCTCCTGTGTCGGCTGCCTTTAAAAGGGAGGGGTCTGGCTTTCAGGAGCCAGAGAAGCGCTGGGCCAGGGGAGGAAGGAGATGGCAGAGGCCGGGTCCCTGCCTACAGGCTTCGGGGAGCTGGAGGTGCTGGCTGTGGGGGTGGTGCTGCTGGTGGAAGGTGAGGTCTGGGGGTCGCCCAGAGTGTCTGAGGCTGGCGAGGAGAGGTCCCAACCCTCAGGGCTTTTGGTGGCTGCACTGGGGAGCTGAGAGGAGGAGCCAGGGAGGGTCAGGCAGGAGGGCCTCTGAGAGGGGGCATTAACCAGAGCGCAGCCAAGCATCCACTGCAAGCCTCTCCTTCGGCGGAGGCTGTGCGTTTTGCTCGCTGAGCTGGAGATTGTGTGCTCAGGCCCAGAGGCTCTGGAGACACCACTGCCGCCCCTCCCCATGCGCCTGCAGCCGAGCCCCTTGTGCTCTGGCCTCGGTGCCCTGGCCTCCCAGGTGTGGGCATGAAGGGACATAGTACAAAGCACCAGCTGAGTCAGACACCTCTCCGCGCCCCATCCCTGCCACCACCTCCTTCTCTCGGCCCTAAGCCTTTCCATGCCTGGGCGACAGGGTCCATGAGGCGCTAGCCTCACCCAGAACCCCACGATGCTCGCTGAGGCCAGAGCTGGGCTGGGCCAGCCCAAGACAAGGTTGATGGGGATGAACCCTGGTCAGAAACAACTGGCACATCTTCTCACCCAGTGAGAGTCGCCAGGGAGCCGGAGTGCAGCCGCGGAGGGACCTGGCGGCCGGCCCCGCTTCCTCTCTCCTGGGAAGCTGAGGGCAGCTCCCCTGTGCCCTGAACAGGGTGGGACAATGCCCACGGCACGTCTTTGCACACGCTGCTCCTCTTTCCAGAAGATCTCTCTCCCCCTGCCTTCCTAGGAAAAGCTCTTTTGAGGCAGGATGCGTCCCCATTTCTCACTTAGATGGGAGAAGCTGGCTCAGCGTGGGTAGCGAGCGAGAAGCCAAACTTCAAGTCAGGTCTGCCTGCCCGACCACCAGCGCTCAGCAGCCTCCCCTCCGCCAGGCTCCCCGGGGCTCCAGGCATGGGGGGTGCTGGGACTGGAGAAACTTGTGCTCCCTGCCCAGGGCACCCTGCCGGGGGCAGGTCAGCTGGTAGCTCCCGAGGCAGGAGGACGGCGCCCATGAAGAGCAGAGGGACCTGCAAGACGCCAGCTGTCCGTGAGGCTGGCTGCTTGGTGGGTGCAGGCTGGTCAGTCTCCCTCCTGGCTGTCTCCTGAGGGTCCTCGCAAGGCTTCAGCTGTGAGGCCAGCCTCAGGGGGGTGTTGGACGAGCTTCACGGAGAGTCTTGCTGAGTGTGAGGGCTTGTGGGGTAGAGAGCTGTTTAGGCTCCGCCTAGCCCACACTCCTGGTTCTGACCAGCCGGGCCTCCCAGCCCCTCTGCCAGCCCCTACCTTCCTTTCAGCTCTCGCCGGCCTCAGCCTCAATAGCCTGACTGTCCTCTCCTTTTGCACGAGCCCGGAGCTCCGGACCCCGAGCCACCTGCTGGTGCTGAGCCTGGCCCTGGCGGACAGCGGGGTCAGCCTGAACACTCTCACCGGAGCCACATCCAGCCTCCTCCGGTATGCTCCCTGGGCCCTGGCCTCTGGGTCCTGCCCCCAGCCTGACCTCTCAGCACTGAGCATTCTTTTACCAACAGAAAACTGACGGTGGGAGGGGGTGTGAGGGTGCAGGCTGAGCGGGGTGGATCCAGCCCCAGACCCCACAGCCCACACTGGTTCCTGGAGCACAGGAGATCCACCGACCACAGCGGCGCCGGGGAGAGCAGGCGCCTGCTCCCACGCTGGAATCTTGGCTGCATTCTTCCTCACCTCTCAGCTTCCTCTCTGAGCTGGGTCTTACTGTCTAACTCATGTGGTGGCTGGAAGTGCGTGTTGTTATGTGTGAATAACTTCACAGTCGCTGTCCCTGGGAAGCCCTAGTTACGTTTGTGAAAGCAAACAGGACTTCACAGGCTCTGAGACCTCCTCCCGGGCCGCCCCGTCTTCCCACTGGGCCCTGGGGGTGTTTCCAAGATGGGTCCCTTTAGGGGGACTGAGCCCTGGCTCCTGCAGGTGGAGGCTGGCGCCCGCTGGTGTGAATGGCCTGGGTCCGAGCCAGTAAGTGTTCCTCCTGCTTCTGCTGAAGCTCTACCTTTGTTTGGCTCATGAGGCCACGAGCTGGGCGGCCCGGGCTTTCCCTCTGACTCTGCTTTCATCGGCTCTGTGGCCTCAGTGTCTTCTCTGAGCCTTAGTTTCCCCATCTATGGAATACAGGTATGAGCTCTCTTTTCGACCGGGGTGTTCTGCTTACCGTAATGAAAGCACCTGATCACACAGAGACCTTTGTTCCAGCCGTGGGGCTGAGCCTGAGCCTGCACCCCACCCCCCACCCCCCGCAGGGACCACATAGGAAACAAAGATCATACCAGCTTCATCTAAGGAGCTGGGCCAACATCAAGGAAGGTGCCTGCATGCTACTCCTGGGCAGATGTGGGTGCAGAGGCCAAGGGAGGTCACTGTGCCCATGTCTCCGCAGGCGTTGGCCCTACGGCTCAGGTGGCTGCCAGGCTCACGGCTTCCAGGGCTTCGCAGCCGCGCTGGCCAGCATCTGCAGCAGTGCAGCCGTCGCCTGGGGGCGCTACCATCACTACTGTACCCGTACGTGTTTGGGGCTCCCAGGAGGAGGGACCCAGGCAGTGAGGGTGATCGGGATGGAAATCTGCTCAGTGTTTCCTGGTTCAAGGGGCAGGGTTCGCGGGGGGGGGGGGGGGGGGGGGGGGGGAGGGAGGTGCAGGCACCAGGCAAGGAGGAAGACCGCATGTGCTGGGCAGGCTGTCTGTGCCTTTGCTGTAGCTTCAGGCAAGTCAGGGGTCCTCTCTGCACCTTAGTCTCCTCTTCTGCCAAATGGTTTTTGTAACCAGTCTCAGTTTTATCCTGACAATCAAACCAGATCATGGATACAAAAAATGTCCTTGATGACGGGCACTGCTGGGGAGCAGAGTGGTGATATGTAGGTGTGGGGGGGGGGCGGGGGGGAGAGCACTGGGCATGAGACCCCACACCTCACATTTTCTTGGAGCCTGTGCCATACCAGAACTTCATGAAAACTAGTCAAGCTCTCGAGCTCCTAGGCCATATTGTCAAGTGCCATATTAATTGGCCAGGTGAGTGTACCACCTGCTGTCATTTACTTGGTATTTCTTCCTTAGAAGCGAGCCACTTTTAAATACCTGATGTATTTTTGTTCTTAACAGTATCTGTGACCTCACAGCTTCAATACACATTCATATACAACCATGTTCCCCAGAGGCTCTACAGAATCCCACTGACCTCAGCGCACACACCCGCTGCGGGGAGCAGTGGCTCAGCAACCCCCACAGCAAACACCCAGCTCGCAGACTGGGAAGCTGAGGCTCCGAGAAGTGAGGGCGCCGCCTAGGCCACAGCTGATGGGGCGACCCTGGGAGTCGGCCTGGCCTGCATGCCTTCAGAGGTGGCCTCTCCCTTGCTCCCGGTCTCCTCATTTGGAGCAATGGAGGTTCTGTGGGGCACGTGGTCAGCATGGCCAGGAGCCCTGGGCATGGCCCCTTTGGAATCACAGATCTGCCCTCGCCACAAACACAGGCACACACCCTTGACCCTTGGCAAAGTCACATGTCTCTCTCCAGCCAAAACACTGCCTTTGTCTGGCAGCCCAGCCCCTCCTGTCCCATCTGGCCTTGGAGCTCCTCTGCCATCACCCCCCAGCCCTGCCCCCCACACTCCCTCAACCACTCACACACAGACTCTCACATGTGCACACACACACCCACACACACCTTCTCAGAGAGCAACAGGCCTCTCTGTCCCAACGTGGCCGTGAGCCGGTGCCAGGGCCTAGACCCTGGTGCCCGCAGGGTGTGCGGCGCCAGGCAGGGAGGGCCGGGGCAGCACAGACTCCTCCTAGGTGACCTTAGGAATGCACCTTGGTCATCTGTTTCCAAAGCCAAAAAGGCTAATGCAACACACGGCAAGACGTCTCTGAGTCCTTGTGCCACTGTGATTGCTGTGGGGTCATGGCCAGCTAGGAAACAACACAGACGGGGCTTCAGCCACAGGGAGTTCTATCTTGTTCTAGAAGTCCAAGGTCAGGTGCCAGTACAGCTGGGTTTTGAGGAGAGCTCTCTTCCTGGTTTGCAGGGGCTGCCTCTTGCTGTGTCCCTACATGGAGGAGAAAGAGATCATCTCTCTTATCTCTTCTTTTTTAAAAAAAAATGTATTTTTATTGATTTCAGAGAGGAAAGGGAAGGAAGAGAGAGAGAGAAATATCAATGATGAGAATCATTCATCAGCTACCTCCTGCACACTCCCTGCTGGCGAGTGAGCCCGCAACCCAGGCCTGTGCCCTGACTGGGAATCAATCTGTGGCCTCCTGGTCCATAAAGCCCTGCCGCTGGGCCTCTCTCTTCCTAGAAAGGCACTAACCCATCTTGGGGGCTCCACTCTCAGAACCTAAGTGCCTCCCAGAGTCCTCTGGCGATGGGCTCCGTGGTATGGCTTTCGGGTGGGAAGCATAAGATTTGATCATAGAAGCGGACATATCCACACCAGCCCCTCCGGGGTGTGAATGAAATCAGTGTCAGGTGAAGGGTTTGCAGACCTGCTCCTCTCTGCTGCCCCATCTGGAGTGCTGTCTGCGGACGAACATGACCTAGAGTCAGAGAAGGCTTCTGGGGGAGGCCTTCTGGAGCAAGACCAGGAGGAAGCCTGGATGGGAAGGGCTGGGAGGATGTGAGGGTTATCGGTGGAGGAGGTCAGGTCACTGGGACCAAAACCACTGTCAGGACCTAGCCTCCCCCGTGGCACTTAGATGCCCAATCCCACGCCCAGTGCTCCTGAGTCGCAAGCAGACTGCTGCTTCTGAGCGAGAGCGGGAGAGCGAGACGCTAAGTGTTCCACTTCCTCTGCCAATACCCGCCCGCCTCCCCCCCCCCCCTTCTCGTTGCTGCCCCTTCGTTCTCTGTCCTCCAAGAAAGAGAGTACGGAGTGTCTGTGACCTCTTTATTCTCCAGAACAGCCCTCTGATGCAGGAGCCACCTTTCCCGTTTTGTGGAAGGAAAAGTGAGACTCGAGCGCTTCCCCTGCCTGAGGCCTAAGTTGTTGGGGATCAGAGGCGGGTTCAGGTCATTGTGCCTGACCACGAAGCCCACTGTTCTTCCGTCAGCTCCTCCCCACCACCTCCTCCTCCCTGCAGGCAGCCGATTGGCATGGAGCACGGCGGGCTCCTTGGTGCTCTTCGTGTGGCTGTCTTCGGCCTTCTGGGCAGCACTGCCCCTCCTGGGCTGGGGCCACTATGACTACGAGCCCCTGGGGACCTGCTGCAGCCTGGGCTACCCCAGGGGAGACAGGTGAGGCGGAGGTGCCCTTCGGGGGAACCCTGGCCAGGAGCCCTGTGACAGCAATGTCATAGTTGGAAATCCCAAAGGGAGGGCCAACAGTGGCCAAGCAGTCCTGACTCCTGAGCTGTGAGGCCCACTTGCAGGCTGACGAGGGGCAGGGCAGCCCTCTCCGAGAGGCCGAGGGACGACGGCAGAGTGTGGGGGCAGAGGGGGCGGCTGCGAGCACTGGCCTGCTTGGTGGTAACAGCTGCTGAGCCCAGGACCCCTCGACCCTCTCAGCAGTCAGCCATTGGAGCTGCAATTTGCGTGCTTTCTAAGGGGAGTCCTGCCCTTGGGCTGGAAGGATTCAGGGAATGTCACGGTCTTTGCTTTGGGAGGAGCTTCCTTGGCACAGCACAGAGGTCTCTAAACCCCTGAGCCGCTGTGGCAGGCCAGCCCTGCAGAAACAGAGCAGAGGCAGAGCAGATGCACAAGACATTGTCAAGGAGCCCATGTCTACTGCCCGTCCCCTCCCCACCCCCCAGACTCCTGGAGACCAGGACTGAGAGGACAGGCCACATGGGCTCAGCTCCCTCTCACTTCCAGCAGAACCGCGTTGCATTTAGATGTTTACTCACTTTTGTTCGTGAAGCATCTGCCCCTGATGAAACCTGCTCAGAACCCTGCGCAGCATTTCCCTGTCAATGCCGTCCTGCTGGCACCCCTTCCCCCATCCGCCCTTAGTGAACAGCACCCAGGTGACATGGTATCTTCTTTAAAATATGTATGTCTTTATTGATTTCAGAGAGAGGGAGGGAGATGGAAACATCAATGATGAGAGTTGATGATTGGCTGCCTCCTGCCAGCCCCCTACTGGGGATGGAGCCCACAGCCCAGGCCTGTGCCCTGACAGGAAATTGAACCACGACCTCCTGGTTCATAGGTCAACACTCAACATTGGCCGGCAACATGGTATCTTCTTAATGAAGGATCAGCCCTTGCACCTCCCACAACCACAGCAATTGCTTCAGTGACACAAGGCCAGTCTCTGCCATCCACAGGCTCCTTCCAAACCCCTTTGCCAGGAACACTCCTGGGATGCTCCTTCCTCTTGGTCCATTGGCATCTCCATCTGGTAAACATGGTTTCCAAACAGAAGTGCCCACCCCCATGCTGGCGGCACATGCTGAGCTGGGCACCTGGACGGACAACAGCTAGGGAAGGAGGAACCTCACCCAGCTCCCTGGCTCCTCCAGGCGCGTCTAGGAGGCCTGGTGGCTTCCTGGTTCTGAGGGGAGTGCAGCCAGGATGGGAGCGGCCACACTCTGAGCTCACATCCCCTGGGAGCGGATCCCCGCATGCAGCTGCCTGGAGCAGAGGTGAGGCGGAGGGACTCGGGGACCCCTCTCCTTGAGATACAGCCTCCCGCTCCCCTCTGTCTGCAGAAACTCCACCAGCTTCCTCTTCATCATGGCCTTTTTCAACTTCCTCCTGCCCCTCTTTATCACACTCACGTCCTATCGGCTCATGGAACAAAAACTCAGGAGGACTGGGCCCCCCCAGGTAAGGCTAACCCTGGAGCAGAGGACTCCGGCTGCTCAGGGACACAGGAGCTGGAAGGATGCAGATGCAGTCGGGGTTCCTGTGTTTTCCACAATCAGCAATGGAGCTGCTGCAGGGGAGGGGAAAGTGCCCCTCCTGTGGGTGCTGGGATCGGGCTCCATGACCCTGGGGAAGGGCCAAGCTGCTCAAGCTTACCGGCGACACTGAGCCCCGAAAGCCGCGCCTGCCCGACCTCACATGTATGGTTCTTTCTTCCCAAGGCCGTGAGGTCGGCACAAAGTTGCATGCTTTTTTTTTTTTTTTTTTTTAATATATTTCATTGATCTTTTACAGAGAGGAAGATAGAGGGATAGAGAGTTAGAAACATCAATGAGAGAGAGTCATCGATCAGCTGCCTCTTGCACACCTCCTACTGGGGCTGTGCCTACAATCCAGGTACATGCCCTTGACCGGAATCTAACCCAGGACCTTTTAGTCCGCAGGCTGATGCTCTATCCACTGAGCCAAACCGGTTTCGGCACAAAGTTGCATGCTTTTTAAAGCTGCTGCAGCAGCATGGAGGGTGAGCTCCTCGGAGTGCACGCGAGAAGAGAGCATGGCAACTTACTTTACAATTAGGTCGCGAGCGAGAAGCCCCTGAGTCCCAGGTGGCACACACTGGTTGTGTTCCCACGTAGGAAGCCGCCCTGTGAGCCAGGACTCTGCGGCTGCAGCTGCAGGAGAGCCGGTTCCCAGGCTGAGGTGTGAGGGCAGCGCACAGGGACCCTTGTGCACACAGACACACTCAGGGAGCCTGGGTTCGGCCAGACCCTGCCTCCAGGCCAGTCAGGTAGAATCTGGCCATTTTATAGACAAAGCAACTGAGGCCAAGCAAGCTTACATGAGAGGCTGAGGTTGTGCATCTGAAACGGCAGAAGGGATCCTGGGATCCCAACTTCTTCCACAAGCTCAGCACCTTCCCCCAGCCTGGCCACGTGCCAGCCTGTGTGTGCCCACATGGCCCCTGGCTGCCTGGGCTGCCAGCTGTCAGGGCAGTCATGCCTCCTCCCATGACCATTTCTCCCCAGGTGAACACAACTCTGCCAGCCAGAACACTGCTGCTCGGCTGGGGCCCCTATGCCCTCCTGCACCTCTGCGCAGCTCTCGCGGGCACGGCCCTTATCCCCCCCAGGCTGCAGGTGGTAAGGGACCCCCAGTGTCAGCGCCTGGGCTCACTCCACTTTTGTCTCTCCTTGCTTTCCTGCCTCCATGATAGTCTCTCTTCCTTTGAATACCCCAAATTCACTGGGACTGTGCTTGTCGCCCAGGACACATGGGTGGCTGCTCGATGCTGCCTAAGCCTCAGTGAGATGACAGGACAGATGGCCAGAGGGGACGTGCCTCCTGGGGCCAGGGGCTGAGGCTGTGCCCAGAGCCATGTACTCCCAGACAAGACACATGGACAACTAGTCAGGGTGGACAGAGCAGCAGGACAAGTGATGGGGCCCCAGGGGGAGGGGGAATCACCAGGTGAGACTGGGAAGAGGGGCAAGCCTTTGTGACTTTTCCTGGGTGTTTTTGCCACAACAGGTGCCTGCTCTCATTGCCAAAATGGTGCCCACAGTCAACGCTGTGAACTACGCCCTGGGCAGTGGAATCTGGCAGTGCCTGTCCCTGCAGCGAAGTGGGTGGGACTCGGCCCAGCGAGCTGCTCGGGTGCTGCGCTGACCAGGCCCCCACACCTGGACGGAGCCTGGGCTGGGTGCTGCCCGTGGGTCCTAACCAGCAGGCTCAGAGCCAAGCTCCAGACATGCATCCTCCAGTCCTAACAGCCATGAACCAGCCGCGCTGGACACTGTAGGAAGCGGCTCTAGGGTCAGGCCTGGGGCTGACCTGGGCAGGACCACAAACAACTCCCAGCCTGGAGGACAGAGCTCTCCCAGCATAATTAAGCCTGACCTTGCAGCCCTCCCTAATTCCTTCCTAAGTAGCTAATGGGCTGTGGGAGGTAAAGCAAGTGCTGCCAAAACAAGAACATCTGAAAACATGTTAGTCTCCCCTTGTTGTAACAGACTATAAAATAAAGCCTCGCTTGCAGGCTGGGTCTTTGTGTCCTCCTTCAGGCACGGGAGATCCACCGAGCCCCAGCTCTCTTCTCTTGTCTGTCTTTCCAATCCTTCACCGCCTCCTCAGGCTCACCATGGCCATGATGGTGTGGCACAGGACACAGGACCTTGAGACGCCAGGCTGCATGACAGTTGTGGGAGGGGGCAGGCCCTGAACGTGAGTCATAGCAACCCCTGACCCCAGGCCGAGGCTCTGGGAAGCTATTGCTCCTGACCTTGACATAAATGTCAATATGGTTCCACAGATTTTGTGAGGCTCAAACAGGATGACGTACGTGCACAGGGAAGCTGCTCATTGAACAGAACTGAGAGCATTCAGAAGCTGAGGTAGAGCCCCAGTGCACGCAACCCGGCCACCAGCATTCAGACGCCACTGATTACACTGTGATCCGGGTGCGTTTCCCAGCTTCCAGGGTGATGTCAGGACGGCTGGGTGTTTGGGAGGGGCCAGGTGCTCCCTGAGTTACCCACCAGCATGCCCTAGTCAGACAGCAGCCCGTGCTGCTTAGTTGTCAACATTAAAAAAAGGTTTATTTAGAATCCCAGAAGCTTGAGAAGGAGGCCTGTACCTCTGCTGTGGGACAGGCACAGGCTTAGGCAGCGCTGCCCGGCCAGGGCCACCTGCAGGAGCAGCCCGTGCGCTCCCTGCGGAGCCCGTGGCACCTGGGCGTGACACCAACACAGTCCCCACCCTGGGGCCCTGTGTTCCCCCTGAGTCAGCACTGCGGGGACAAGGAACAGGAGCTGGGGAGATGGAGAGTGGGGGCGGCGCAGGGCTCAGGGAGGCCTGGTGAGGCAGAAATGGCAGAACGCAGTCCGTGGAGGAGCCCTCAGAACAGCAGCTGGGTCCTTGGCACCAGGGCCTGACTGTTGCAGATGCAGAAATCAGGCCACACACTGGCAGCTCAGGGCATGCATACAGGCTGAGGCCAGTTCCTCATTCTGCACCCGGTGGTGAGGCGGCAGCTGCCTCGCACACTTTTTGAGGCCATGCTGGCCTCACTCCACGGCTTACACGGGCTTGTCTTGGGCCCTAGTCTGGGGCCAGGAGGGAAACGGTGGCCTGAGCGGTGCACACCACAAGTGTGGGTGGCCAGGAGGGCAGCAGGCTCAGTGCCTGGAGGTGTGCCCCCACCAGAGCCTCAACTGTGTTTATCAAGGAGCGACCTTCACTCACCATTTGCCACCCATGAGGGACTAGGAAACGTGGTGAGAAGAAGAGAGAGGAGCTCAGACTCAGAAAGGGTGGAAGCTGAGAGGCTGAGGACACAGCGAGTGGCAGCCCCCACACAGGCCCCGCCCCCGTGCTCAGTGGAGGGTGGGAAGGGGGCAAGACAGCCCGTGTGGCCAAGGACACCTTGAGCCCAAGCCCAGGTTTGTGTGGAGCTGGGAACAGTGGGCTCAGGACATCTCCCCACTGGAGGACGGGGTCAGCAGGAAAGGAGAAGGGCTGCAGCGGTGCTGTTGTGGGGGTGTAGAGGGGTGGGGGGTGGACAGGACGGGGGTCCCCAAAGCCTGAAGCCCTTTGCTCTAGAATAGGGGTGTCGAACTCAATCAGAGAAGGGGCCAAAATCTAAAATCCAGCCTAAATCGCGGGCCGAATGGTTTACTGAACAGTCATAAACTGTCATTGTGATGGAAACGCAGCGGAGTGCAGTGATGACAGCGCGGTGCGGGCCACATTGCAAGGCCTGGCGGGACGGATTTGGCCCACGGGCCTTGTGTTTGACACATGTGCTCTAGAAGTTCCAAGTCCACCCATGCCCTCGCCTCCACTCACATGTAGGCCTAGGAAGCCTCCTCATTTTTGGGCATGCCCCAAAGTCCTCTGAGCACCAGGTGTAGGCCTCTCACCCTGCCCTCCTGCCCCCCAGACCCTCAGCCCCCTCCCAGCCTCACTCTTCCATGGAGCAGCTCAGAGAGACAGGGAGGAGCTGACTCCAACACAGGCCCGCCTCTGCCAGCCTGGCACCATCGCTGGGCAAGGTCAGAGCCACCTGTCAGCCCTGGTCCTGGCCAGTCCCTGACACCGGCTGAAGCACAACCCCGCGGTCTGAGGACCCAGGACTTTCTTCGCTCTCAGTGGCCCTGGGCTGTCCACAGCCTCCCTGTGGCTGGTCTCTGGGGAACAGGTGTCCCTCTGCAATCAGGGACACGGAGAGCAGCACCCTTGCCTCCTTGGAGCTCTGCTCCAGGCCCCTCTCCGGGTTGATTTCAGTGGCTGTTCTTCCCGTCTCCTCACTCTCCTGCCCACCTGCAGCTCCTGCTAAGAAAGGTCTCGCTCTTTCTGGGCCCCAAACCACTCTTCTCCACTCACCTTGCAGCCCCTGATGCGACCTGGAAGGAACAGTGCCCGGCCCCTGCCCCACCACTGTGGCTCCCCTGCCCAGCCATCTGTCACTGGAGTGCCAGGCTCTCCCCAAGATTCTTGAACACCAGGAAACAGAGGCCACGTGGGGGGCAGGGGAACACAGCCCTGAGAAACCAGGAGAGAGGTGAAAGCAGCAGAATCCGAAGCCTGGTCCACAAACCTGAGAGCGCAGGCCCCTTCACTGGGCCTGGGGCCCACCCTGCCTGTGCATCAGGCCTCCCAGCCCCGCAGGCCCAGTGGCTTCAGCTCACACCCCACCAGAGATTCAGAATGGACTAGAAGAGGCCACCAGGAGGCGCTGGACAACCACCCAGGCAACTCCAGCAATCACGTCCTTGTGTGCAGTTTATGTCCAGAACTGGACCCCAAGCCTGTCCGTGCCATTTGGACTTGCTCATCTACTTCCTCAGTGTGTGTTACTGAGCAGCTGCTGTGTGCAGACACTGTGCCAATGGGATGACAGGGCCAAGATGCTTTCCAGTGACAGCAGGAGATGTCCATGGTCTTTGTCTCTTCGTGGCACTTGTGACCAACTGACATCACACGGAATAAAGTCAAAATGGGTAAAAGACTTAAATGTAAGTTATGAAACCATAAAAATCCTAGAAGAACCCATAGGCAGCAAAATCTTAGACTTCTCATGTAGTAGAATTTTCACTGATACATCTCCTAGGGCAAAGGAAAAATGCACAAATGAGACTACATCAAAGAACGCTCCCACACAGCAAAAGAATCCATCAATAAAATGCAAAGGGAGCCTACTGTATGGGAGAATGTATTTTGCGATGATACATCTGATAAAGGGTTAATATCCAAAATATCTAAGGAACTCATACATCTTAACAAAAGGAAGACAAACAATCCAATTAAAATATTAGCAAAGAACCTGAATGGACACTTCTCCAAAGCGGGCATACAGATGCCCAATAGACATATGAAAAATGCTCAAAGTCACTGATCATCAGACAGATGCAAATGAAAACAACAATGAGGTATCATCTCACACCTGTCAGAATGGCTTCCAGCAATAAATCAACAAACAAGTGCTGGTGAGGATGTGGAGAAAAGGGAGCCCTCATGCACTGCTAGTGGGGACACAGAGTGGTGCAGCCACTGTGGAGAACAGTAAGGAGTTTCTTAAAAAATTTGAAATGAAATTGCTGTTTGACCCAGCAATCCCACTTCTAGGACTATATCCTAGAACCTGGCACACCAACCGGAAGAAATATATACACTCCTATGTTCATAGCAGCACAATTTACAATAGCTAAGATCTGGAAACAGCCCAAGTGCCCATCTATAGACGAGTGGCTAAAAAAACATTTATACCATGTGATAGTGTGCAAGTTTTAATAAATAAATAAATAAATAGCCGAGACCAGTTTGGCTCAATGGATAGAGCATCGGCTTGGGGACTGAAGGGACCCGGGTTCGATTCCGGTCAAGGGCATGTACCTTGGCTGCAGGCATATCCCCAGTAGGGGGTGTGCAAGAGGCAGTTGATTGATGACTCTCTCTCATCGATGTTTCTAGCTCTCTATCTCTCTCCCTTCCTCTCTGTACAAAATCAATAAAATATATTAAAAATAAATAAATAAATAAATAAATAAATAAGGATCTCTTACACTTTGATACAACTTGAAGGGACCTGGAGAGCATTATGCTAAATGAAATAATCCAGTCAGAGAAAGACAAGTACCACATGATCTCACTCATACACAGAATCTAATGAACAAAATAAACTGATAAACAAAATAAGACCAGAGGTATGAATGCATAGAACGGACTGACAGCACTCAGAAGGTAGGGCGGGAAGAGATTAACCAAAGACCTTGTATGCACATATGCATATCTCATGGACACAGACAATGGGTTGGTGAGGGGCTGGGATTGGTAGGGGCTGGGTGAAGGGAGTCAGAGGGAGGGAATGATGAACATCTTTAAGGCTGTCAAAAATACTTAAAAAATAAATAAATAGGTGCCAATATGGATACAAAGACCAAGTAAGTGGCATTAGTCACAGTAGTAAGGGTGATCAAGATTACTCGAAAGTTTCCTTCAGAATCTCTACAAGTCTACCTCAAAACTCCTTCCCCTCATTCTAGACAAATAAACATGTCCACTGAGCTTCACTTGTATTTGGTTTAATTGTGTGTTTCCACAGAATTGTCCCCTGCTGACATTAAATGCACGGTGCTTTCAGCCCCATATGGCTGCTGCTGCTGCTGCTGCTGCTGCTGCTGCTGCTTCTTCTTCTTCTTCTTCTTCTTCTTCTTCTTCTTCTTTTCTTCTTCTTCTTTTTCTTTTAACTTTCTGTGGTTTGACTTGATTGCTAAATGCCACCATTACATTAAGCTAACAGAGAAGGCCCATGCATTGTTCCTGGGTTGGATGGGGCCCCAGCAGTGATGTGCCCTCCTTGGCGCCCACAGTAACCACAGGCCACCATGGCCATCCCGTCTTCCACCACAGCTGGAGAGGGTTCAGACAAGGCAAAGGTTTTTAAACTCTATCAAAAGGCTAACTC